TAATATACATTTTGGCTGGGTAAAGTAATCTGGGTTGGCATCTGTGGTCAATTAGAACGAGGAATGCTTTGGTCCAGGCTCTTCTGGCTTTCATAGTTGCACTGAAAAATCAGGTGTAATTCTGATGGGTTTTTCTTCATATGTGACTTTTTGTTTTTCTTTAGCAGCTTTCATTATTCTCTCTTTGTTCTGTACACTTAGTGTTTTTAATATGATGTATCATGGAGAGTTTCTTTTCTGGTCCTGTCTATTTGGTGTTCTATATGCTTCTTGTATTTAGATGGGCATGTCTTTCTTTAATTTAGTGAAATTTTCTTCTACAATACTGTTGAAAATCTGGTCCATAACATTACCTTGAGATTCTTCTACTTCTTGTATGCCTATGATTTGTAATTTTGGTCTTTTTATGGTGTCACACAATTCCCGCATATTCTATTCTTGTGTTTTCTTAAATTTTTCATAATCTTTTCTTAAGTGGTCCAATTCATCCACTTTATCTTCCAGACTTGATATTATGTTTTCCATTTCTTTCATCCTGTTGGTGAGACTTTCACTTGTCCCTTTTAATTAGCTTATTGAGTGTTTCAGTTCCTTCTTCATTTAACCCTGAATATTCTTCAATATTTCTAACTCTTTTCTGAATACATTCAGAAGTTCATCCCTATCTTCTTTCAGTTCTTTGATTTCTCTGTGTGTTCTTTAAATTCACTGAATTCTTTCACCGTGTTTATAACTGTTCTTTTGAATTCCATGTCCTGTGTTATCTCTAGGGGTTCTCATTGTACTCCTCTACCAGACTGTTGGGACATGGTGGGGATATTCATGTTATTATTTTTTCGCTGTGACTTTTACATGTGGATTTCTTTCATAGTTTCTGCTGCTTGTGTGAGAGTCAAGCCTTCCTTTGTTGAGCTTTGGTCTGCTTCTTTTTTAAACTTTATGTGCTTTGGTGGCTTACTTATTGGGCATGAAAATCTGGATGGTTTAGGCTTCTGTTTCTCTCTTTGGATTTTATATTGGAGGGGCCAAATTGCTTTCGTCTTGCTGCTCAGGAGTTCCCACAGAGGCCCAGCTGGGGTTGAGGAACAGATGTTCTCAGGCTTTCTCCTAAGGTCTGGACCCCTCCAGGAAAGATGCTGGCCTCAGGAATTTGGAGGGTGGGCTGGCCTGGGACCAGGACCAGAGTCAGGCATGCAAAGGCAAGGAGGTTAGGGAACAGGCCCAAGGGCTCCAGGGGACTAGAGGGAGGAATTGGGTTGCTCTGAATGCAAAGAATCAGTAGGCAGTGGGGAGTCTGTGCCAAGAGGCCTGTCCAGAGGTCTAGGATGCCACCATAAGAAATGGGCCAGTGCCCACACTAGGAGGACAGATGGCTAGGGGAGTTGGGAGGGTCAATGAGGTTGGGGGACTCAAGGCACAGTTGGCCCTCTGAACTGATACCGACAGATTCTGGCCCCAGGAAGCTGGGGACTGGCTCTTTTCCCATCTTTCACTTCATTTCCACTAGAAATATTCAGCTTCTCAGTTTATAAATCATAAATATGCAACTCAGGTTTAAAAAGATTGATCTGTGATAGGTAATCAAATTTTAATCTGTAACGAATTCTCTGGAAGCATAATTAGAAGAATTAAAAGTTTTTGTGGGCCTTATTTACACAGAAAGCACTTCTGTATTTAAATTTGTTGGTCCCTTAGGAGATGATGGTCTTAGAACTCAGTTACCCTGGGAATTCCTTGATCTTAAAAGAAGTTTCCAAAAGGACACAGAGACACAGATCCTTCATTACATCAGATATGATGAATTTTTATGTTGCAGTGCATGTAGCATTTGCTAGTGTTTACACTACTTCAGAGAAGTGAATTTCAGTAAAATGTAGAGACGGTAAGTTCATATACCTTCCTACCATGCAACTTATTAGTCATAAATAATATTTATAAGACAAGAAAAGTAGTCATGTGTTTTATATTAGAATGAAGTTAGTAGGAAGAGGCTGCACTATCGAAGAGCAGATTTGCCAGAAATCTATACACGCAACTGAAGAAAGCTATTAAACTATCAAAGGTTACTGTTTTAATGTTCTATGTAGAGTCATAGATAACTGTGAAATATTAAAAATAAAATGAATAGTGATTTAAAATTAGAAAATCTTTTAATTTATGTGATATTCACAATAGTCAACAAAACTAAATGCAAATGTATTTGCTGGCTGTGGTCAGTGATCTCACTGTGTGATTTATATTGTTTCTTTTACGGTGTATGCTGAGAGGACATACAATATTTGTAATTACCGAAGCCAAACAAATCACTAGATTCATGTGAGGTGAAACTAATGGGTGTTATAAATTAATCATTTCATTTTGATTAGTGAAAACTTTTGCACAAATGAGAATATAATATCTGTACATCCTAAAGAATTCTTGGCACCATGGGCCTATTCTTCCCAATGGTTTATTATTCTTTCAGATATTATCAAATATGAGGACAGCGAACATGTTTCCAACCAAAGCTGGCTTGATACAATGGAAGTCTGTCTTACACTGCTTTCCCTGTCTACAATAACTTGCCTCAAGTATTCACATTCTTTGGGGACTATTCAAGGATCCAAATGCTCAGCTATCTCCTTCTGTAAATTCTTATGTGGAAAAGTAAAGAATATTCTTTTTCAATTACCTTTTGGTTCCTTATATCTCTATTTTTACATAGCTGGTCTTTCTAAAGACTACTTTGTACATTACAGGTTGGAAATAACTCCGTTGCCATCCTCAATGCAAAACACAGGATTTTACACATTTTTCTACTTTAATTGTTTAAGTTATTTTATTATGATGATTAAAAACACCTAACACCTAATAAGAAATTTTCCCTAGAGATATCACCAATTTCTTTATTAAATAGATGTTCTATAAATTGACTTTTAATTAAAAATAGAATAAACCCTTGCTCAGAGAAACTTTAAAAGCATATAATTTTGAAACTGTGACCTGTGAAAACAGTCGCTCTTTTAGTCTGCTCAATTGTTGTGGATGCAAGACAGAATATATTTTATATTTAATCTTTCTTATTTGACATTATATATGTAAACGTTGTGAATAGTGGTTGTTGTGTGTATAAATCTCAATAGACACAAGATTGTTCTTATGAATAATTGTACTCTATCTAAAATTTTTCTTAACTACAGTGTGTGTTTGGACTTCACTATGTACTTTCTACTTAATTTTTCTTCCTGATCATGCTAATTTGAAACACAATCATATCTTGGAATGTACATTAGGAAATTAAAAGAGAGGTGTGTATTAGTACCATAAGTTGGTTTTATATTAAAGAGGTTTCCTTGACTCTAAAATTTATTTGTAAATTATATTTCATACTTCTAAACTTTCAATTTTTCCTTGGGTTCATTCAAATGAATTAAAAATAAATATTTTAGTCTTCCATAACTCTTTAACATTCTCTTCATTCTGTGGTCTTCATAATGTCCTAAGATACTTTCATATTTCTGTTCCTGCAATACTTCACACGCATTTGGCCTCACTAGACCCCACATGACATGTTGCTCTTGGTAAGAACATTACCAAACTGTTCGTAATGAAACTGTCATTGAAATGAAGTGGTATCTGAGATTTGTCATCAGAGATGCACACTTGGAATCCTCATGAGAAAAGCAAATAAATTCACCTATTTATTTCATGGAAGTACCTCAAAACAAGTATATAATGTTGTCAAACAAAATAACTCAAGAATCAGGTTGGTTAATATTTGACTGATAGAATAAAACAGTTCCAATTAATTAATTCTAGTTAGTGATGCTGGCTAACTTTCTTTCTGCAGATGTGTGTATTAATGTCAGATATGGATTGTTGGTTATGCGTCATTTTTCAGTCTCCATTACAGTTTCTAAAATTAGCAAGGACATATGCCATCTTAACTTTTGTACCCTGTATAGAACTTGTATGTTTTTCTATCTTTGTGGGTCACATGAAAATTCAATAACTTCTACACTTGTAAGACTCTAATCTTGGTAGACTATATAAATATTTAACACTGAATCAAGGCACCCCACCAACACAAGATATCTGTTTTACATAACTATTTGTAAAAGATGAATAACCATGAAAAAAACCTACTTGAAACAGTGCTTTGCTAGTTCTAGGTTAAACACTATCTAGCAGGTTTTTCATTCAGGCCTTTTTCTTCACACTCAGAACTGACATGAGACAGAGGACAGTAACGTGAAATGATACTGAAAAGAGTTTATGGCAGCAGGTGGATCTGATGATACACCTTTGAAACTTATGTGATCTTTCTGGTTCCTGTTATTTTCTAAGCACTTAGTATACATCATTACCACACTCACTTCTTAGAACCCCGTTTTAATGTTTGTGTATCCTTAAATTGGTGATTATATGACTGCTGTGAATTCAAGTCTCTTCAATAACCATTATTTCTATACTAAGATATTGCATTTGGAAATTTTATAATATTGCACATTTGAACAGTTTATTGAGATAAATTGCTAGAAAAATGAGAATGGGGTACACTAATGAAACTGAGGAATTCTCTGTTCCTGATATACAATGGTAAGTGGAGCTTAACTCTTTACAAGAGGAGAACATGAGCAAGTATTAACAAACTAAAGAAGCAAAGCAAATGTTAACTGGAAACCATAGCTTCTCTGTTAAAACTTTTGGACACTGGCTAAAATCAATTGGAATTTTCTGGGATTTAAAGAAGCAAATAACTTTTTAAAATGTAATCAGTTCTTCTTTTATTTTCTGTAAAACTATTAAAACAAAAGAGACATGAGAAACCAGTCAGCAGAAGTAGTGTTCGTTTTGCTTGGATTGACAAATGACCCTCGGCTACAAGTTCTGATTTTCCTATTTATGTTTTTTAATTATACCTTGAGCTTAATGGGGAACATAGTAAAGAAGCAAATAACTTTTTAAAATGTAATCAGTTCTTCTTTTATTTTCTGTAAAACTATTAAAACAAAAGAGAAATGAGAAACCAGTCAGCAGAAGTAGTGTTCGTTTTGCTTGGATTGACAAATGACCCTCGGCTACAAGTTCTGATTTTCCTATTTATGTTTTTTAATTATACCTTGAGCTTAATGGGGAACATAGTCATCATCATCCTCACCCTGCTGGATTTCCGCTTGAAAACGCCAATGTATTTCTTTCTTCGAAATTTCTCCTTCTTAGAACTTGCTTTCACATCTGCCTGCATCCCACAATTCTTGGTGAGCATTCTCACTGGAGACAGAAACATTTCCTACAATTCCTGTATAGCCCAGTTATTCTTCTTTTTTCTATTATTAATCACAGAGTTTTACCTCCTGGCAGCCATGTCCTATGACCGCTATGTGGCCATCTGCAGACCTCTGCATTACCCAGTCATCATGAACAGCAAAGTGTGCCACCTGCTTGTTCTCAGCTCCTGAGTAACTGGGTTCTCATCCATTTCCCCCCCTGTGATGTTGGGACTCCAGTTGGATTTCTGTGCTTCCAAAATGATAGATCACTTCCTATGTGACGCTTCTCCTGTTCTGCAGCTGTCTTGCACAGACACACGTTTCATTGAATTGATGGCGTTTGTCATAGCAGTGATGACCCTTATCATCACCTTGATCTTCGTGCTCCTCTCCTACACACTCATCATCAAAACCATTCTCAAATTCCCTTCAGCTCAGCAGCGACGAAAGGCCTTTTCCACATGCTCCTCACACATGGCTGTTGTCTCTATCACTTATGGGAGTTGTATCTTCATGTATATGAAAACATCGGCAAAGGAAAGAGTAACTTTAAATAAGAGTGTAGCGGTTCTCAACACATCTGTGGCCCCGTTGCTAAACCCTTTCATTTACACACTAAGGAACCAGCAGGTGAAAGAAGCTTTCACACATATGTTCCAGAAATTATTTTATAAAAATGTTGATGCAAGACTTAGATTTAAATAATATGCTGTGGGAACATGAAGGAGAAAACTGAATATCAGTTATGACATATGACATTTCTGTTCTTATGCATTTAAATAATAAATATTACTCTAATGTGGCCTATGCTCTTCTTTCTTAGTAGATCTTTCAAATGTCTAGGTGTAAATTGTCCTCCTCAGTTCATGATATTTAAGTCTGTCTTTACTTAGTACATCTCTTTTCTCAATAATGGTAGTTCCCTATACTAAAGATTTTGTGAAAATTAATCTTGTTAGACATGATATTTTTTCAATACATATATTAATTGCTAAGCATTTCATTTGCTGGTCAGTATTTGCATTGCTAACATAGAGACAAATGCAGAGCCTGATAGTTATCATGTAATGTAATTGAGGCTATCATAGAAAATAGCTAGAAGATCTGAGTAGATTGAAAGATGAATTTAGCCATCCAGAAGGGAGCATTGCATGATGAGCCTCAAAAGATAAGAAAATAAAGATTGAAGGGCGTTTTGAGGAGAACTGGGATACAGGTAAAGGAATAAGATATTCCTGGAGCACTTCATCCTGTGGAGTTATAACAATTAACAGTGAGTCATATGTCACAGCTTTGTAGGCATAAATAATTAGACTTTAGGTTTTGATGCTAATTATTTATATTTCTTCATATTCTTAAGTCCTAGAAGTGATGCCAATTTTTCAAATACTCATCATATAAGTTATTTATACCTTTGATTATATTTGTATTTGTAAAATAAAGATTTCTAAGCAATTCTGCTTGTGTCAATTTTCATAAAATTAATGCTGTATCTCTCTCATAAACATCACAAAATTATTTTATACAAAATACATAGGACAGGTATGCATGTGCCTGACATTATAAGAAACATCATAGTGATTTATTCTCTTACCTTCCTTTTCTCTCATATTATTAACTTTTATGTTAATATACAAAGCAATGGATTCATCATGATATTTTCATAAATATGAGTAATTATACTTTTTTCTAATTCATCATACCTACTCTTCCAACATGCCTCTCTTTCCCCACAGCTAGCTCCCTCCCTCCTCACAAACATTAACAAAACCATAAGGACAAACTTTAAAAATCTATATTCCACTAAACCAAAAAAGAGCAATGAATAACTCTAGGTATACAACCTATAAAACTTAAATAAAAAGCACATAAATAATTTAAACCGACCCATAATAACCAATGAGATTGATGTAGTAATTAAAAGTCTCTTTACTAAAATGAACCCAGGACCAGATAGATAATGTACAGAATTCTACCACACCTTCAAAGAAGAACTAATCACCAATACTCTTACATTTATTCCATAAGACATAAATCAATAAGTGCAATGAACCACATAAACAGACTCTAGGACGAAAACCACAAGATTTTCTCATTAGATGCATCAAATGCCTTTGACAGAATCTACATCTTTTACTGATAATAGTCATAGAAAATTTTTTATTAGAAGACACATATTGCAACATAATAAAGTCAATATAACACACGCCCACAGCCAATAACATACTACATGGTAAAAAAAAAAAAAACCCGTCAAACATTCTCATTGAAATCAGCAACAGATAAGTATGTCCACTCTACCATTCCTGTTCAATGTAATACTTAAAGGCTTATCCACAGCAACAAGACAAAGAAGAAGATAAAGGGGATACAAACTGGAAGGAATATATCAAAGTATCCTATTTGCAGAAGATATGATTCCATACATTAAAGATCTTAAAGATTCCATCATAAACTTCTAGAATTAATAATTATATTAAAAAATGAGCAAGATATAAAATTAATACTCCAAATCAGTTGGCTTCCAATATAACAATAAACATATCAGTACGAGGAAACATGGGGATAAAGGGGAAGAAGTAACTTAATGAGGGGGGAATAATAAGAGACAAGTATATTTGGGGATAATGGAGGGGCAACTTGAACTTGGGAGGCAGGAGAGGGGTTAAATGGAGAAAGAGATAAAAGAGATAAATAAAGTAGAAGGGGTGTGAGAAGTCTGGGAAGTGTGTTAACTCAAAAAAAAAAAAAACCCGAGGAATAAGCATATAATACCAGAACTTGAGAACATGTGTCTACCTGAAGGCTATATAACAAAAAACACAGTTGCAGACATGAGAAACCTCCCTTTGTGTTGTTGGTCAGGGTTGTCCGAGAGGCTCCCAAAATAACACAGGTTATTGCCACAGCCCTTCATTACCTCCCAGAACTTGAAGGTAAGACTCTGTTGCTGAAGACAGGACATACTTCAGACACAGGACTTGGTACAGTGGAACTGGAACTGACCTGAAAGTCTACTGCCTGAGGACTACCACTCATAGCTCTAGAGGATACTATGCAAGCTGGTAAGTGAGAAAAATTTCAATGGGCCAGCCAAGCTGTAAAGCCTAATAACCACAATGCTTGGCAAAGCAGACCAGCTCTATTGGTTCACTAGTGGCAATTTTTAGGGGGCAATCAACTATCTAATTTATCATAGTACCCTCTCAATGGGAGGGAACTCATAGGTGGCACTGTAAATATAACTAATTACATATGGCTGGAGAGGTCATAGATCCTAGAGAAAAGCCTATCTCTAGACAAAATTTCTTACTGTATGCTAAATATGGATATTTATATTTACAGACAAATATGTCCCTGTATAGGTCTCTATATTAAACCTCAGCCACCCATGGAAAGATGGTAATGTTGGCTGCATAAAAATAAGAAAACAGAGGCTTTGGGGCCCCTGGGAACAAGCTCATATGAACTTGGAACATTGGCAAGAACATGCACAAAACCCATGCTCATTCAATCAGACAAAACCCAGCATAGAATTCACTAAATGTCCATCAGGCCCAACCTTAGTCAAGGAACATTGGAAACTGATTACTCTGTGGTGAAGAAGACTAGTTCTTCTTTAAGGGGGTGACTAGATAGGCTGACTAAACTCAAGTGATGAACTTGTGCAGAGGGACATCTGGGTACAAAAGCTTGATGTGATAAGCTTTAAATTGCATGATAGAATTCATGAAATCTGATGTGGGGATATGGGGGTGCATATGGGGAGGGATCAAAGTTTGAGATCTAGTTAATGAAGTGCACTAAAACTCAATAAAAATATACATTAAAAACAAATCCAGGAAATGATCCATTAAAGATAGTCTCAAAAATAATAAACCGTCTTGAAATAAATCCAACAAAGGATGGGAAGGATTTGTACAATTAAAACTTTAAGGCACTGAAGAAAGAAACTGAAAAAGTTACCAGAAAATGGAATGACCTCCCATACTCATAGGTTGATCGAATTAATATTGTGAAAATGGATATCCTACCACAATCTACAAATTCAATGAAATACCCATTAAAATTACTACATAATTGTACCCTGAAATGGAAAATTAATCTCCAATTCCATATGGAAACTCACACAACAGAAAAAGAATCAGCAGCCAAAAACATCCTGAGCAATGAATGAACTGCTGAAGGCATTACCGTCCCTGATCTCACGTTCTCCTACAGAGTTACAGCATTAAAAAGAGCATGATACTGCCATAAAAAGGCCCACTGATAAGTGCAATGTAATTACTTACAACCAAATGATTTTTCACAAAGCTGTCACAAATGCACACCAGAGAAGACACAGCATATCCAACAAGTAATGCTGGTCAGACTGAATAACAGCAATCCGAAGAATGAACCTAGATGCCCCTCAATTTATTCTGAATAAAAGGGATTGTTCTTCTTCATGCACAAAACTCAACCCCAAATGGATCAACAACCTCAACAAAAGACCTGATAACCTGAATCTCACAGAATGAGAAAGTGGGAAATGCACTGAGACTTACAGGCAAATGAAAGAACTTTGTGAACAGGGCTACTACAGTGCAGGCATTAAATCCAGCAATTGACAAATGAGACCTCATGAAGCTAAAAACCTCTGTACAACAAAGAACAACCTACAGAATGAAAATAATAATCCTTAACAGCTGTACCTCTGACAGATGGTTAGGATCTAGAATACACAAAAACTCAAAAAACTGAATATATAAAACACAAACAAAAAAACCCAATTAAAAATGGGGGCCAGGACCAGAACAGGAAGTTCTCAAAATACGAAATGCAAATGACTGAGAAATACTTATAAAATTGTTCAACATCTTTAGCAATTACAGACATGCAAATTTAAAGCACTTTGATATTTTATCTCACCCCACTCAGTGCGGTCACCGCCAGTGCCACTCCTTCCTTCTCAAGGGCATCAAGGCTGCTCCTCCACTCGCCCTGGGCTGAGGCCGCTCTTCTGCTTGCCCAGCGTGGAGGTAGCTCTTCTGCTCGCCCTGTGCTGCCTCTTGTCATCTCCGCTTCTGCCCAGTCCTGGAACCCAGGGCTGGTGAGGAGACTGTGTCAGCGGAGCCACATTCAGACACAGGAGACCAGGTTCAGTGACACAGGTCTTGACTAAGGAATTAAAGTGTGATTAGGTCTTTTTTTTTTTTTTTTTTTAATTTTCAGTGGGCCTTTTAGGGCAAACGAGAAATGAAGTTAGTCATCACCCTCCTCACCCTGGTGGACCTCCAACTAAAGACTCCAATGTATTTCTTCCTCTGAAATTTCTCCTTAGAAATTGCTTTCACACCTGCCTGCATCCCACGGTTCTTGGTGAGCATCCTCACTGGGGAAGGAATAATTACATACAATTCCTGTATAGCTCAGTTATTCTTCTTTATCCTATTATTAATCTCAGAGTTTTACTTCCTGGTTGTCATATCCTAGGATAGCTATGTGGCCATCTGCAGACCTCTGCATTACCCAATCATGAACAGCAAAGTGTGCCACCTGCTTGTTCTCAGCTCCTGGGTAACTGCGATCTTATCCATCCTCCCCCCTGTGATGTTGGGACTCCAGTTGTACATCTGTGCTTTCAAAACAATAGACCACTTCCTATGTGATATTTCTCCTGTCCTACAGCTATCTTGCACAGACATGCATTTCTTAGAACTGAT